GCAACTATTTTAGGTCAGCTGTGGTTATGTTGCCCACCTGAAGTAGGCCCTAGCCACCAGTAATACGGGACCGGTTGTAATAGGGATTTTTAAAGATGGGGCCGGGGAACACACAGGCGACGAGGTCAAGTAGTTGTATGCAAAAGGAAGCCTATTGGGAATGTGCGACTGTACTTTGAGTGGTTGTGAAAAAGTTGCCCTAACCCCTAACTCTAGCCCCAACGCCAACAGTACTATGACCATCAAGTGGGGATACATAACCACATCTTACCCTATTTTATTCCTCTCCGATACGAATGACAAGTCCGAGTCTGTCGCTCGACTCGGTAGCTGCCGTGGCACCGACATTCACCTAACGTTTGTCACGCTTGTGTACGATAATAATTAGGTAATCACGCAGACTCCGTGTAGTTTGAATAACTCGTGTACTGAGCCAGCGTGATGCCCATTTTGGTCTGGCGCAAGAACGGCGCATTGCGACTGAGGCGGGGCACTCCAGACATCCACTTAGGCAAGGGTTTGGACACGTTGAAAAGGGTGAAAACGACTAACCTGGTACCAGGAGTATGCCCGCTCAAGTGGGTCCTTGAGCAGGAAAATGAGTTTGGCGCGAGACGACAGCAGAGCAAGGACGCGATCAGGCGCCAAAAGAGAGTCGAAGTAGGTAGCCGATTTCTCAAAGCGGATGAGTTGCCGCTCACCAGGGAACTTGTGGAGACGATCTAGTTCTTCAGGGGTTCGAGGAAATTGGTCAAAGTACCAGGCCACACCTTTGGCGTAGATTTGATTGTTGCTGAAAAACTGTGGCTCCTCAAAGGTGCCCTGACTGCGAATGTGGTTGGCCACTAGGTCAGGGTGGGCTGCCATGAAGGTGAGGAGGGCCGTGGTGCCTTTGCACGCATGTGGAAAAAGGATCAAAGTGAGCATCGTGAAGAAACAGGCGGTGCACCCACATACGAAGCGAATTCTCTAGAATAACCTGAAAAATTCACATTGAACGATTCCCACCCAGTTGAATCAACACTAGACTCTCATTCTTCGTAATTCAATTCTAACAGATCCAAAACGAGCCTGATATAAGATGAACGGTTCCTGGAGAAGAGGCTGCGACATTCCCATATGGGATGCAGTTGCGGCGACCTAATAAGTATGGCGGCAGTGAGATGTCTGGGATGATCTGATGGAGATAGGTTGGTTGGTTAAAATCCTGGTCAGTTGTTGTGTAGACCAGGGGGTGTGGAGTGAAGCGCCAAGGTGCGGGCTCTGCCGCGTCATCCGCCCGCACCCTACCCGTCTCCGGTCTTCTTGACTCTGTCCTGACACCGGACTCAGGTGGGGGAAGAGCGAGTGCGGTAGATGCAGCGCAAGTCCATACTCACTATAAACTAATTCGTGCGCAAGGCACTGTGCCTGCTTCACCTTGCCGTGGAGCACACGGTGGACATCATCGGATGCGACGATCGAACTGTCAAGTGGCTGACAGAACCAACATGTCTAAAGAAATCCCAATCCTCTCCCCTCTAGCTGCTGTTCATTGGCTATTCTGACTTTCGCTGCTTTATCCTAATTTAGATTACTGTACAG